AAAGGTAAACGTTTTCCATTGATTCAGGACATGGAGGCAGCTACGACAGTGCAACTGAAGACACGAAAGGAGGCTTCCAGAACTGCTTCAGAATGTGGCAAGAATGATGGGATAAGTGTTTTTGAAGCGAGGGGGAGTATTTTGAGGGGGATTAATGGCAGTGTGTCTTTTACTGTAATAATTCTTTCTAAAAATTTAAACATTCACCGTATATTTTGATCACACCTTGTGCCTCCGCAATTGTTGCACCTATGGTGTCAATTGGTGAGAGGATAGAGGAGAAAAACATATATAGGCATTGGATCCACCATCTTGCTGCTTTAGCTCCATTGAATGAAGAGGGTTTCATTTTCTTTAGTGTTTTAGCTCCTGTAGTCTCCTGTTCATAGCCACTGTCACTGCTGCCAACATTGCTATTGGTTATCTTGGAGTCTATGGCATGAGAGAATGGAGAAAAAGGAGACAACATCTCCCCCGTACCCCCTGCCCCAGGATTTCCCCATTTTCTTGGAACTTTAAGTGTTCCTTTTCTACTCCCTTCCAGAACTAGAGGGTTTCTCCTGCTTTTTTCTTAGCCTGTATGACAATGCTCATTTCCAGACTTGAGGCTGCATTGGACTCAGGCTGTGGGGATACTGGAGGAAAAAGAAATGCTGGCATGGTGGTGTTAAAGTCTTCTCTTGATTTAACCTTTCCCAATCCTGAAACAGCTGCACTATTTATTCTGTCCAGGTTTGTTTGTTTTTTTTAAAGATTTTTATTGGGGAATTGGGGGAAGGGGAACAGACACGTTGCTGTCCTTTTGTTCTTCAGTCTAGTTGTGGAGGACTGGCCCAAATTGGCACCATCATTGCGCTCTTCCTGGGTGAGGCAGATCAGTCTCTGGCTTCTGGACGGCCGCTCACTGCGGCTGCTGGCCGCTCACGCTGGCTGCTCTATATACAGTAGCCCATGGCAACCCACTGCCACACGGGCTGCAGCCTACGCTGTCACCAGCGACTCAGGGCAGCCCAGCTCCTGGTTGAGCTGTTGTTCAGCATCTTAGCTGTGGAGGGCAGTGTCACTGGCCCTCATATGTGGGATCCGAACCGGGGCCCTCTGGTGTCCCAAGCCAGTTCTTAACCATCGCGCCACTCGGCCGGCCCCTGTCCAGGTTTTATAGTGTTCAGTTGGAAAGAAAAGATATCGTGTATTTATTCCATCTTACCCAGAACTGGACCCCTATTATGTTTTGAGAGTTTATATTTTAGATATAAGCCTTTTATCAGATAATGACTTACAAATATTTCCCCCAGTCTATGGCTTATCTTTCCAGTCTCCTGTCTTTTAAAGAGCAGAAATATTAATTTTCATGAAGTAGTATCATTTTTTCTTTTATGTATTGTGCCTTTGAGGTCATAGCTAAGAAATCTTGCCTAATGCAAGGTCATAAAGATGTTTTTCTTGTTTTATTCTACAAGTTTTATAGTTTTAGCTTTACACTTAACATTTATGTCTATGATCCCTATTGAATTTTGTATATGGAGTGAGACATGGATTTAAGATCATTAATTTGAATATGGATGTCAAATTGTTTTAGCATCATTTATTAAAAAGACTACCTTTTCTCCACTGACTACCTTTACACCTTTGTAAAAAAAAAAAATTCTACTTTTGGACTCTGTATTCTGTTCCATTGTTCTGTGTCTCTTTTTTTGTAGTAAAATATACACAACGTAATGTTTACCATCTTAGCCATTTGTAAGCGTACAATTCAGTGGCATAAAATATATTCACACTGTTGTGTAATCGTCACCATTATCTATACCAAAAACTTTTAAAAATCATGCTTAATATAAACTGTATCCATTAAACAATAACTCTCAATTCTCCCCTTCCCCCAGCCCACTTCTATTTCTAGCATAATGTTTTCAAAGTGCATTATATTGTAGAAATACAAAAATTTTATTTCTTTTATGGCTGAATACTATTCCACTGTATTCATATTACTTGGAGATCATTGAGCTTCTTGGACTTATAAATTCATGTCTTTCATCAAAATTGAGAAGTTTTTAGCCACTAGTTTTTCAAATATTCTTTCTGCTGCTTGTCTCTGTCTTCTGGGGCTCCTACAGTTCATATGTTGATCTACTTGATAGTGTTCCTCAGGTCTCTTAGGTTCTGTTCACTTTTCTTTCTTCTTTTTTTCTTTCCTTTCTTTTTTCACTAGAAATAACACAGGACTTTTATTCCCATCTCAGAGGGCAGGTCTTTGCATGACAGGGGAACGAGTACTGACGGCGGGGAGGAGGCTCCTACTTGCCGGCAATGAGCGGGTCCCCTCGCAGGAACATCTTAGAGATGTAGCGGTCCCTGTTGACTGGCTTGGACTTCTTCGGGACCTCGGTCCCCATCTTCACATCCTCCAGCACCATGTTGCAGTTCCTGTCAAAGGCCTTCACACGGCCCAGGAGCTCCTTGTTGCGACAATTGATGAGCCTCGGGGTGTTGTTCTTGACTGACTGCCTGAGCACGGAGAGTGAGCCCGTGTTAAACTCCTCCTCCTCCCACTGCTGCTGCTCCCCCCGGGTCATCTCACTTTGGGGCTTGTTGAGGAGGCTCATGGTGGTAGTTTTCAAATCACTCCAATCCTATTCTTTTTTCTTTCTGTTTCTCAGACTTCATGATTTCAGTTGTCCTACCTTCACTGCTTCTTTCTTCTGATGAAGTCTGCTTTTGAACCCCTCCAGTGAATTTTTCACTTCAGTTATTGTATTTTTTAGCCTCAGAATTTCATTTAGTTCCTTTTTATAATGGCTTTGTTCTTTATTGATATTCTCATTTTGTTCATACATTGTTTTCCTGCCTTTTCCCACACCTTCCTTTAGCTCTTTGAGTCTCTCTAGGACATTTTTAAAAAGTCTTTTGTAAGTCCAGTGTCTGGGCTTCTTCAGGGTCAGTTTCTGTCAATTAATTTTGTTCCTTTGAAAGGACCATACTTTACTGTTTCTTTGTATGTCTGCATGCTTTTTTTAAAAACTTGACATTTGAGGCTTAATGTCATAACTCTGGAAATCAGATTCTCCCTGTTCCCCAGAATTTGCTGGGTTTGTTTGTTGGTTGGTTGTTGTTGAAAGGTGTCTGTGATGGGAATTAGCCTGAGGTGAAAGCTTAAGGTCTTCTCAGGTGAATTTCGAGCCTGTGTCGTTTACTGGGCATGTGTGGTGGCTTTCTAAATTCCTCTATACATGTGGTTGCTTTTTCATGTCCTAATCCTTAAATGTCTGGCTCCCAAAAGGGGAAAAAGGGCAGGAAAACAAACAAACAAACAAACATGCTGTTCTTTTAAATCCCCTGGGAGCAGCTTCAGTCAATGAGGTTTGAAACAATGGTGGCCAGACTCTGTGCTAGCCAAGATTTACCCCGGAAGCTGTGAAATTTTAAATAGGCTTCAGAGTTCCAAAATAGTTCAGTTTCTGACAAAACAAGTATCTAGGTGGAGAGATGGATTCTTGATGCTTCCTACTCCTCCAGCTTGCCTGAGGTCACTCTAGTATAATCTTTTAGAAAGCTTTTTCTCAGCTGTCCTAAAAGGAACAAAGGAAGGAAGTGTTCATCCTGGACTAGTGCTTTAAAGGCCAGAAGAGTGTTCCTTAAATCAGAACAATGAGGCAAACCCCCAAAGAATGTGGAAAATCAGAATGATAAAATTTAGGCTACTTGGGCAACCATGTGCTTCACTTGAAGATTGTCCTTCCAGGACTAAAATTCTGGCATTCTTTTGTTTTATTTCACTTAAGATGAATCCACCTTTTCCAGGGCTAGTCTCTATTTTGGTCTGTCTTCAAATGCATGCAGACAGTAATTTGGGGCTAGTACACTGAAGGCAAACTTCTTCTGACTCTTGGGGAGTGATCCTTTGTCAAATGTACTCAAAATGAATACAAAGACGAGTCATAGGAAGTCCCAGTTCTCTAGGGACTGTCAATTAGATAGGGCAGCAGGCCATAACCAAGATACCTTAAAGTACAGTGTATGGCCCTCTCTTACTGGTGTCTAGTACATTCTGCCTTGATCCTGGAAAGTAGTGATTTTATGTGATTACTTGTTGAATCTCTAGTGCATGTGTGTCCAATACATGTTTATTGGATTAATGTATTGGTTGGGACACTTGTAGTAGGTTCGCTATAAGAATTTACTCCTAGGACCCTCATTTGAACCTAACAATCACATATGCAAACACATGTGTGAACATTTACAAGCATATGTGTGAGTAGTTCTTAGACCAGTGATTCTCAAACCTTGCTACTCATCAGAATCACCTGAGGAACTTTCCCCAAACCCTGATTCCTGTGTTCTAACCATAGAGATTGTTTTAAGCCTGGGGTGGAAGCTAGAAATATATATATATATTTCAAAAGCTACTTGGGTAATTCTGATATGCAGCCAGAGTAGAGACCACAACCCTTTGATTACCTAAGGAAATCCAGCACTCAAAATAGAGGAATAAAGTGTCTTCTATGCTTTAGGGAGATTCTGGGTTAGACAGGATAGCATACAGTCAAGAGCACTAGTTTTGAAGCGCAGATATTGGGTTCCAATCTCAGTGTAGCCACTTCCTACCTGTTAGCCTTTGAGAAACTACCTAATTTTTCAGAGCTTCTGTTTCTTTATAAAATAGGAACTACAGGGTTACTATGAGGATTTATGTAAAGCCTTAGCACAGTACCTGTCCTATGGCACAAAAAATGTTGGCCTGATTTATTCTGGTGTACAGACGTGCCCCTGGATTAGTCCGGATGCAGAAGTCTACTGAAGTATACCTTCTGCAGCCAGCTCTTTAGGAAACCAGGTTTCCTGGTCCCCCAGCCAAGTGAAGGATGCATAGCTATCTAAGAGGGAGGGGACTATTGGCACGCACTTGCTTGCCGAGCTCAGGTACTGCGCTACGGGTGTCCACCAGAGGACGCTCAAGCTACTTAAGCTCAACGCGCAAACCAGGCGGCGCCCCCGCGCGTGCTCACTCGGTGCTGTGCGCGCCTCGGAAGCCTTGAGCCACCCTGGCTTTCGGCTGCTGCTGCTCCTCGGTGGCTCTCCCAAAGCAAGCCTCTGTGGCTGGCTACGGCAGCGCTTTGGGGACAAAAATCTTCCCGCGTCTGTGGGCTCTGCTTTGCACGGCTTCGTTCCGTAGGCCGATCTGGGGCGGCAAGTGTTAGCGTCTCCACTGCTCTGCTACCTAAGACATAGGAGGAGGCTGAGCCCCACGCAGAGTTCGGGCTGACTTGGGCCTGAGCCCAGCGGGACGCCGTCCTTACCCGGATGTTGCGATGGCTGATCGGGGGAGGCCGAGAACCTCAGGGACTGGCCGAGGTAAAACCCCGGGTGGAGCCTTTCTGCCCCCGGCAGAGGCTTCTGTCCGAGCCTGGCTCCAGGGTCGGGACAATAGAGACCCGAGCGGAGGCGAGGCTTGCGCGCGCGTGCGCGCGCCATACGGGGTGAGGGGGAGGTGACTTTTTCGGCAGCTACTCTACTCTGGACCCACCTAAGACTCAGTTAAACACAGTATCCTTGTGCCAAGAGGTGAGGAGACTGAAGCTGATGTGGTTCAACAACAAGCTTGAGGACACTCAGCCAGTCTTCCCCCTAAAAGTAGTCTCATTTCAATTTAAAAAAGTATCTGACTTACTACAAACAAGTGGTGACTGCAACTGTACACTTTCAGTTAACTTGAATTGGTGTCACTTCCCCAAATCAACTGGTGCTTGCAACAGGGAATATAAAATTTAATTTGATTTTTTAAAATCCAAGAACAAAAAAAGATTATTTTTAAAATTAATTTGCTTTAGAAAACCATCTTCTAATTAACTGCTATTTTTGGTTCCATAGTGACGCTTTCTTCTTGGGCCTGAACGATTGAATAAACTAATGAGATTTATATTTGAAATGTGAATAAAGTAGTTTTGGCACTTTCAAAGTGCTGAGGTCTGGAATTTATTTTATATGCCACCCAAGAATAGAATTTGTATTGCATTCCCTTTTATTTCTCATAGGGAATATTTGTTTTGATTGTTAAAAGTAAAAAAAAACTTGCATTGTTGTGAGTCAACGGCCTTATTTCTTAGTTTTAACTTCCTCATATCTTTGCAGTTGAGGCATATTCTCTATATTTTTTTTAAAAAGTATTTCTTATCTGAAATTAGGCTTTTTTCAGATAGGTTGAAATCCTAAGCATTATGGAAGAATTGTGGGAAATTGAGTAGTGCATATATGATGTATATGACAGTTTTCTACAAACCCAATTATTTGATGAATCAGAATATGATTGACTAATTCTGCCATGCCTGGCAAGCTTTAATTTGGGGGAAGTGGTATATTGTATTCAGATCTCTCGCTTTTGCTTTTCTTAGCAGAAACACTGCTAGAAAGGAGATGGGATAAATAAAAAAATTACTGCTTTGGGGGTGAATTTTTTTGGGGGAAAACATTTATGCATGTTAAGTTGTACATTTCTTCATGTAGAAGTAATACTTTAGCTGTTAACTGCTGTGAATTTGTACGTTATTAGAACCAATGACCTTCCCTAATTTATGCAAGAACTTTGAATCCAGGCTTCTAGTTTAAGCAGTGTTTCTCTGCTGGGAAAACTTTGCTTCTTAGGGGACATTTGGCAATGTCTGGAGACATTTTGGATTGTCACGATTTGGTGTGGGAGTGAATTTCTATTGGCATCTAATGTGTAGAAACCAGAGATGCTGCAGAGCATCCTACAGTGCTCAGGACAGCCTTTCACAACGAATTATTTGGTTCAAAATATCAGTAGTGTCAAGTTTGAGAAGCTGCAGTTTAGAGGTTAAGAACAGAGAGGTTTTATGAAATAGTACTGGATTTGACTACAGAAATGGCATTAACAAGCCCTATCTTAACAGAATTATTGGGTGAGTTATATGCCGTCTGTGCTTTACACGGTGTTAGGCATATAGGCTAGTACCTAATACTTTGTAAATGTTAGCAATTATCTTTAGCAATATTGTCCAAAATTGAATTAATTGAATTCATTGACTCTAAATGACTTTATTCCTTCCTTTATTCATTCTGCAAACATACAATTAATGCCTATAATGGGCTAGGCACTATTTTAGTCTATATTGTATTTTACCCCCTTTGACCTGCAGTTTTATTTATGCCAAGTTGCAATTGAGAAACACCCATTCTAAAATATTGAGTTGGATTGGCCCAGTCATTTTTTTAGGTCAGGTTTATTGAGGTATAATTTCCATAAAATAAAATTCACCCTTTTTGTAAATTGATTGTGACTTGAAAATAATAAAATTTGTGGTGTAGATTTGTGGTAGGAGAAATGTTTTGTGTTAAATTGGCAGTCAGTTGATATTAGGGGAAATAATTTGTAGTATTAGAACACAATATGTTAGTTTAGAGCTTTTTATTTTATTTTTTTAAAGATTTTTATCAGGTAATTGGGGGGATGGGAACAGTGCTGGGGAATTGGGGGAAGAGGAACAGACAAGTTGCTGTTGTTTTGTTCTTCAGTCTAGTTGTGGAGGACGTTGCTTCACTGGCCCAAGTTGGCACCATCAT